GCAGTTGGTTGGTTTCTGTTGGAGATTTTAAACGAACGCACCTAATAGCATACAAGATTGCGCCGATTGCAGCAGAATTCGTGAGAGTAATTTTGGCGGGACGTCATCGTAGAGTTGACAACTGAGGGCAAGATAAAACTGCTCTCTAGTAATATGCTGAATTTTCGGTACCCAATACTTAGAAAAGATTACGGTACCCAATACTTTTCGGTACCCGATACCGATTCTTTACACTAAACCTTCGCCATTATATGCATTTCAAGTTTAGAAAAAACTTTCATTACTAATTTATATGATGTCGGCTAAAACACTTAAACTTATCGCAACAGAGAAATATTATTTTATCAGTTATAACCTTAGTCGATCCAAGGTTCAAGAAAAATGCTTTGCCGTATGAAGAAGCCTTTCGGGTCGTGATGTATTCGCCCGGACCCATAGGGAAATATATGAAGATAAGTGATTCTTACACATTTCCTGTTTGCTTGCTTGTTAACTATCATTTTTCACTTTTTTAAGGTCGCATACCTGGAAGGCGTGGCGGCGAAACAGGACGCGCTGCAACGGTAGATGTTGAAGTTTTGTTAGAGGAAATGGAACTAGGTCCATCGACTTTAGTGAGAATGATGGAAAGACGGACGGGAATACCAAAAACTACAGTTCACAAAGCTTTAAAAGACCATCGATTTCATCCCTACCACATTCAACGTGTTCAGGCTCTACAAGAAAGAGATTACCTGTCGAGGGTTAGATTTTGCCGTGAAATGTTGCAAATGCATGCATCAGACCCCAACTTTTTTAATAAAATAATTTGGAGCGATGAATCATCATGCAAACGTGATGGTTATTTTAATTTACATAACCTTCACAGTTGGCAGATAGACAATCCTCACGGAATGTCTTAAGGACAAAATTTATTCAAAAACAATTCAAAACGAAAAGCATTTGCGGGAACAAATAAATGGAGCTGCCACTGAGATAGCCCAATTGAGTTTAAGATCTCAAAAAGCGTCTTTTCTTAAAAGGTGCCGAGCTTGTATTAGGAGTAGAAAGTCGCCAATTTGAGCATATTTTATTATAAATGAATAAATTTTTCTTCAAACAACTCATGCATATTTTATTTCACGTGAACCCATCCTTCACACAAAATATTGATAGATATAGCCCTCGTTATAGACTCTAGTCCGAATTCCGGTAAGTAACATAAAATAATGTCAGGAGCAGGTAATAATGTACCTTTGTACTATTTAGCATGTCATTGTCATTGGTCGGTAACAAGAGCAACTTAAATTTAAATCTATTAAATACTTAAATTTAAACCTATTAAATACTAGAATGTCTCAGTCCTTTACCCACAAAAGCGACTATAAATTTTTTTTCTATTCGAAACAGTAAGAGTGGCACCTTTCTGAAATTTTTACTAAATGAGCAATTTTTTTTGTGTAATGTAAAGTTATAGCTCAGTACATTTTTTTTCAACAGAGATAGTCAAAGTTGGGGAAGAAAATATCAAAAATTAAAAATCCCAAAATAGTCCTAATTTTATGATGGTTCCTTAATATATTTTAACTACATTGCATTTGAGTATGGAGAAGCAACTATCTGGAAGTATTTTACATAAAAAATTTACTAAGTATAGCGTGGTTTGTAGATGCAGTTAAAGAAAATATATGAAAAGGCACGATTTTTTTTTTTTAATTAAAAAAAACGTAAATATTTCAAAAACGGTGACACTTTTATCTGAAAATTTTTTGTTTATCAGGGAGCTCACCCCCACCTACCTTCCCCTAAAGTTTGGCATGTTACTTCTGGGACACCCTGTATAATATACACATATATCGTCACAAGGCACGAATAAATGCGCGAGCTCAAAAGTTGACCGCGAAAAAAGGCGCTTAAGAAAAACTTCGGCGAAGAAATACGCGTTAACATATTTAACGTCAAACGTAACTTATTTTCGCGGTCAACTATGTTTGCGGGTGTAACAGTATGCAAATTCCCCAGAGAGATGCTGAAGTGACAGTCTATGATTACGCGTCTTTCTTCGCCGAAGTTTTCTCAAGCGCCTTTTTTGCGTAAATTTTTTTTACGCGTCTTTTCGCCGTCGAAACACTAGCGCGCCTTATTCGTGTCTAGTGACGAGAATATATGTTTATGTATGTATGTATGTATGTATGTGAGAATATATGTATATTTATACATACCATAGCAACTGTATAATCAATGGAATTAATCTCTTCTCCTTTTATAACAATGAGACTTATGTCATATCGATATTCGTTCATAAACTTGACAACTTTTTCCTTCAAATACTCAGCAGAAG